TGTGAATACACTATCCTAAATGCTTTCACTTTACATGCTCATCTCTTCTGTGGGGCCTTTTGAACGTCTTCTCAAATCCCAAGTAAATGACATCCACTGCCTCCTTATCAACTCTAAATGTTGCATTCTTGAAACATACCAGCAGATTTGTACAGCATGATTTCCCTTTTGTAAATCCACACTGACTAACTCTGTCCAATCCTGTCACAGTTTTCCAGTGTTAGGCTAACCGGTCAATAATTCCATATTTTCTGTTAACCTTCTTTTTTAACTAGTAGCATTACCTTAGCCACCCTCCAATCCATAGGAATTGTTCATCTTGAAAGATGACCATCAATTTCCTCTATTTAGACTCAAGCCCCTATTTTCAGAATACATCGGCTTCTCAGGCCAAATAAAAACCGAAAGAACTGCGGATGCTGTAAATCAGGATCAAAAACAAAGTTGCTGGAAAAGCTCAGCAGGTCTGGTAGCATCTGTGAAGGTAAAAACAGAGTTAACGTTTCGGTTCGAAACAGTAACTGTTTTTTCCTTCCCAGATGCTGCTAGACCTGCTGAGCTTTTCCAGCAATTTGTTTCTGTTATCTCTCAAGCCAGTTTAAGTACTCTGGCTGTAGATTACTAGGTGCTGGGATTTGTTGGCTTTTAATCCCATCAATTCCCCCAACACCATTTTCCTACTCGTACTGATTTCCTTCAGTTCCTGCTTCCGATGTGTTCCCCAGCATTTTAGAGATATTATTGGTGTAATCCTTTGTGATGACAGAACCAAGATATGTAGTTAATTGGTCTGCCATCTCTTTATTCCACATTATAACTACCCCTGTTTCTGATTGTAAGGGATTTGTTTTCATTAATCTGTTTTTCTCTTCATTATATCTTTAGGAACTTGTATAATTTGTGTGTATATACCCCAGAAACTTACTCTTACTCTTTATTTTTCCCCTCTTAACCAATCCCTTCGTCCTGTTTTGGTGAAATATGAACTGCTCCCAGTCTTCAGATCTGCTGTCCTTTTTAGCCAATTTGTACCCCTCTTCCTTGGATCCAGTGCTGCCCCTAATGTCTCTGGTTAGCCATGGCAGGGCCACCTTTCCTGTTTCATTTTGTGTCTGACAGGAAAGAACAACAGTTGTAGTTCCACCAAGTGCTCTTTAAATGTTTGTTATTCCTTTAAAGTTATATTCCCTAATTTATCGTAGCCTGATCACGTCTCATACCATTGTAATTTCCTCTGTTTAGATTTTGGTCCCTTGTCTCAGAATCAACTCTTGTCGCGTTCCATCTTAATGAGGCGTTTTATCACTGAGTTCTTCTTTCTCCCACAAGCGGCCTCACACGGCTAGATTGCTAATGATTCCCTTCACATTATACAATTAATATTTTGAAATTATAGTTGCCACAGTCTCAGAAGACCTGAGGACTGCTCTGTCACTTGGGGACCGAGAGAGAGAAGGCTAATGTGCTTTAACGTGAGGGTCAACGTGCCTCAGGCAGGCAAGGTTAAGAACGTGGGATCTTCATGGTGACCTCAGGCAGTATGTGAATTGAGTACATGCTGTGGGCATCACTCTGAATTGCAAATCAGCCATCCAGTTAACTGAGCTAACCCACTGCCAGCCATTACACAATATGCAGTCGAGATGGCCTATCTCCATTTGGGCCCTCAATGTATTGATCCTAGAATGTGTATGAGATGGTTTTTTGGAATTTCTTCTCTATGGTATTGTTACTGAGTTGACTTGCTCAATCTATGTGCAGCTTGAAGTCACCCACAATAACCAAGATACAGGAGCAGAATTAGGTCATTCGGCCCATTGTTTCTGTTCCACCATTTGATCATGGCTGACCTGTTTCTCAGCTCCATTCTCTTGCCTTCTGCTTTTTCCCGTACCCTTGATCCCCTCACCAAACGAAGAACCTATCTATCTCTGTCATAAATACACTCCGCAGCCCTCTACGGCAGTGAGCTCTACAAAATCACCAGTCTCTGGCTGAAGAAACCCCTCCTCATCTCCTCAGTTCTAAAGGGTTGTCCCTGTACTGTGAGACAGTGCCCTTGGGTTCTCGTCTCTCCTACCAGTTGTAACATTTTCTCCACATCCATGTGTCTAGGCCTCTCAGTATTCTATAAGTTCATACAGTTGTAGTCATACAGCATGGAAACTAGACCATGCCGACCATGTGCTGAAACTAAACTAGTCCCACCTGCCTGCGCTTAGCCCATATCTCTCTAAACATTTCTTATTCATGTACTTATCCAAACGTCTTTTAAAAATTGTAATTGTATCCGCATCCACACAGGAGCCACTCTCTGTGTAACAAAAAGTTGCCCTTCATGTCTTTGTTTTTCTCCTCTCGCCTTAAAAAAGTATGCCCTCTCGTTTTGAAATCTCCCACCCCGTGGAAAAGATACCTGTATTCACCTTATCACTACCCCTTAAGGGCAGGACTTGTACAGTTAACGATAGGGCCCTGGGTAGTGTTATACCTGAGTACCTTTCCACTTAAGATGGTGCTGTAAGTGGCAACTTGTAAACTTTTCACTATACTTGTGAGTATGTATGACAATAAAGCTAATTCAGTTTGATTTTAAACATGCCCCCTAGTCTTGAAATCCCCACCTAAGAGAAAGGACACCTGCCATTTGACACCCCTCAGGATTTTTATGAACCTCCAAGTTCAACCTCAACCTCTTGTGCCCTGAGAAAGAAGTCTGAGCCTATTCCGCCTGTCCGCATAACTCAATTTCTCTTTCCCCAGCAACATCCTGGTAAATCTCTTCTGAACCCTCTCCAGCTTACTAATATCCTTCCTTTAACAGGGTGACCAGAACTGGACGCAGTACTATCGATGAAGCCTCACCAGCATCTTGTACAACTTCAACAAGATGCCCCAACTCCTGCACTGAAAGGTCTGAGCCTATGTTTATGTGTACGTGTAATGCAAACTTCAAAGAATTAGGTAACTGAAACCCAAAATGTCTCTGTTCTACAGCACTATCCAAGGCTGTGTAAGTCCTGCCCTCCCTTTGCTTAGAATTAGAATCCCGATGGTGTGGAAACAGGCCATTCTACCTAACAAGTCCACACGAACTCTCTGAAAAGCATCCCACCAGACTCTCATTTTCTGAAGAAGGATCCAGACCCGAAACGTCAACTTTCCTGCTCCTCTGATGCTGCTTGGTCTGCTGGGTTTATCCAGCCCTACACCTCTCTGTCCCTATAACCCTGCATTTCCCATGGCTAGTCCACATAACCTATGCATCTCAGGATACTACAGATGATTTAGCGTGGCCAATCCATCCAACCTGCACATCTTTGAACCGTGGGAGGAAGCACACGGAGACACAGGTAGAATGCACAAATTGTACACAGACAGTTGCCCGAGGCTGGAATCGAACCCAGATCTCTGGCTCTGAGAGGCAGCAGTGCTAACCACTGAGCCACCATGCTGCCCTAAAATGCAATAGCTTGCACTCCATCTGTCATTTCTCAGCCCATAAACCCAATTGATCAACATCTCTTTGTAATCATAGATAACCTGTCCATGAAACCATAAGTTTTGGTGTCATCAACAAACTTACTAACCATGCCTTCTATATTCTCATCTATATCACTTATATAAATGAAAAACACAAGGGGACCCATCACGATCTCTGTGGAACACTGCTGGTCACAGGTCTCCAGTTGAATAACATCCTTACACCACCACACCCTGTCTCATGTCATTAAGTGAATTAAATAACCAATTGGCAAGCTCACTATGACTCCCATGTGAGCTAACTTTACAAATTTGTCTACTATGCGGAACCTTGTCAAGGGCTTTACTAAAGTCCAAGTAAATAATGTCGACTGCTCTGCGCTCATCAGTCTTCTTGGTTACTTCATCAAAAAAGCTCAATCAAATTTGTGAGACCTGATTTCCCTCACACGAAACCATGCTGACTATCCCTAATCATTCCTTGCCTCTCCAAATGCTATCTTTCCGTATCACCTCCAACAGCTTACCCACAGCCAAAGTCAGACTTATTGGTCTATAATTCCTAGGCTTCTCCCTACATCCCTTCTTAAACAAAGGCAAAACTTTAGCCACTCTCCAGTCACCTGGCACCTCACCCATATTTATAGATGATACAAATATTTCCGCGAGGAGCCCCGCAATTTCCTCCCTTACTTCCCACAATGCCCTGGGATACACAAGATCAGGTACCAGAGAATTATCCACCTTTATATTTTCTAAGACCTTCAGCACTTCCTCTCCTGCAAAGCAAACTGTTCAAAACATCAATATTTATTTCCTTGAGTTCTCTCGCCTCCTTCAGTCCAACTTGTCCATGTCGACCAGGTTTCCCAAACTGAACTGGTCCCACTTGCATTTGATCCATACCTCTCTCAACCTTTCCTATTCATGTACCGATCCAAATGTCTTTTAAATCGTGTGAGTGTACCTGCATCTACCACTTCCTCTGGCAGTTCACTCCATTTAAAAACTATTCTCTGTCTGAAAATGTTGCCTATTGTTTCCCTTTAAATCTTTCTCCTCCTTAATGTACTCTCTAGTTTTGGACTCCTCTATCCAAGAGAAAAGACCGTTGCTGTTCACCTTATCTTTTACCCCTCAATTTTCAAACCTTTACAGAGTCACCCCTCAACCTCCTATGTTAGAGTGCAAGAAGTCCTAGCCTATCCAGTCTCTCCTCATAACCCAAACCCTCCAGTCCTGGTGACATATATGCTGTAAGTGTAGCATGTAGCCACACAGAGTAGAACGTCAATCCAGCCGCGAGAAGCATCACCTAGTTTCCATTTCTTTGGCCCTTGGTCAAATAGTTTAGCAACAGGAACTGTCCAGTTTCATACATGGAGAGTGAACATTTGGGCTAGCTTTCTCCACAGTCAAAACTGATGTGAAATAGTTATTTCATATCTCTCCCATCTGCCGAGTTTCAACACAAAGACATCCTCCTTGATCATTAAGGTGCCCAACTCTCTCTCCAGTTGCTCTCTTGCTCGATATGTACTTGTTGAATCTCTTTGGATTATCCTTAGCCTTGGCAGATAAAGTTAACGTATGCCCTCTCTGCCTTTCTGATCTCCATCTTAAGAAATCCTCTACACTTTTTATACTATTCAAGAAGTTCATTTGAACCTAGTTGTCTATCTCTAATATGGTTCTTTTTCAATCTTGACTAGCGCCTCAATATCTTTAATAATCCATTGTCCTCTAATCATACCAGCCCTACCTTTGGTCCAACTAGACCATGCCGAGCATAATTCCAAGTTAAACTTGCCCCACCTGCCTGCTCCTGGCCCATATCCCTCCAAACGATTCCGAGTCATGTACTTATCCAGATGTCTTTTAAATGTTGTAATTTTGCCCACATCCGCTACTTCTTGAGGAAGTTCATTACAAACATGAACCACTCCTCTGTGTTTTTAAAAAAAAAAAAAAAAAAATTGCCTCAAGTCTTTTTTAAATCTTCCTCTTCTCCCCTTAAAAATACATTCCCTCGTCTTGAAATCCCTCACCCTAGGGAAAAGGCACCTGCCATTTACCTTATCTATACCCGTCATGATTATATAAATGTCTATAAAGTCACCCCTTCAATTTCTGGACTCCAGTGGAAAAAGTCTCAACCTATCCAGCCACTTCCTTATAACTCAAAACCTCCATTCCTGGCAACATCCTGGTAAATCTTTTCTGAACCCTTTCCAGCTTAATGATATCCTTCATATAACAGCCGATCAGAAGTGGACACATTACCCCAGAAGAGGCCTCACCGACGTTCTGTACAAGCTCAACATAACATCCCAACTCCTCTCAAACGTCTGAGCAATGAAGGTAAGCAGACTAAACACCTTCTTAACCACCTTGTCCACATGTAATGCAAAAATCAAGCAATGATGCATATGAACCCCTAGGTGTCTCTGTTCTACAACACTATCCAGGGCCCTAATTTTTATTGTACAAGTCCTGCTCTTGTTTGTTTTACCAAAACGCAATAACTTGCCCTTATCTAAATTAAACACCACCTGCTATTCCTCACCCCATTGTCTCAATAGATCAAGATGTCTTTCTAATCTTGGACAGCTTCTTCACTGTCCGCTACGCTGCCTATTTTGGTGTCATGTGTAAACTTACTAACCATGCCTTCTATATTCTCATCTCAATCATTACATAAAATGTCAAACAGAATTGGACCCAGCACCAATCCCTGTGGAATACCGCTGGTAACAGGAGTCCAGTCTGAAAAGCAAACCGCCATCACCAGTCCCTATCTCCTGTCATTAAGGCAATTTTGTGTCCAATTGACAAGCCTGAATCACCCTGAATCCCATATGATCTAACTTTACTGATGCGTCCACCATGTAGAACCTTGTCAAAGACTTTACTAAAGTCAAAGTAAACAATGTCTACCATTCTGCCCTCAACAATCTTCTTTGTTATTTCCTCAAAAAACTGAATCAAGTTTGTGAAATACAATTTCCCCCGCATAAAAACATGCTGACTATCCCAATTGTTCCTTGCCTCTCTAAGTACATAAATCATATCTTTCACAATTACTTCCTACTACTTACCCACCACCGAAGTCAGACTCAGGTTTGTAGTTCCCAGGCTTCTCCTGACATCCCTCAAGCAAAGGCACAACATTAGCCATTCTCCAGCCATCTGGCGCGTCACCTGTAGTTGTAGATGATACAATATTTCTGCAAGGTGCCCCACATTTTCTCTTTAACTTATCACAATATGATGGAATGCATTAGAGCAGGACCTGGAGATTTAGAGTCATAGAATAATACAGTATGGAAACAGGCCCTTCAGCTCAAACTGATCCGTGCTGACCATGGTGCCCACTCAGCTAGTTCGAATTACCCAAATAAGAGGGATATTTGGTCTATACCCCTCTTAAACCCTTGCTATCTGTGGACCTATCCAAATGTTTTTTAAATGTTGCTATTGTAACTGCCTCAGCCACTTTTTCTGGCAGCCCATTCGAAACGTGCACCACTCTGCAAGAAGTAGTTGCCCCTCAGGTCCTTCCTAAATCTTTCCCCTTTCACCTTAAACCTATGACTTTGAGTTTTAATTCCCCAACCCTGGGAAAAAGACAATATGCATTCATCCTAACTATGCCCCTCATGATTTTATACACCTCAATAAGGTCACCCCCTTGTTCGCCTACGTTCCAAGGAATAAAGCCCTATTCAGGCCAACCTATCCCTCTAACTCAGACCTACTAGCCCTGGCAACAGCCTCATAAATCTTTTTTGCACACGTTCCAGTTTAACTATGTCTTTCCTGTAACAGGGTGACCAAAACTGTACGCAATACTCCAAGTGCAGCCTCACCCACGACTTGTACAACTGTAACACAACGTCCCAACTTCTGTGCTCAGTGCCTTGACCAATGAAGGCCAGCATGCTAACCGCCTTCACCACCTTGTCAACCTGTGACGCCGCTTTCAATGAACTATGTACTCGTACTCCTCGGTCTGTCTCTTCCACAACACTCCTCAGGACCTTACCATGAACTGTATAAGTCCTATCTTGATTTGATTTTCCAGAGTGCAACACCTCATACCTAACTGTATTGAATTGCATTTGCCAAACCTCAAACCACTTCCCCATCTGATCTAGATCCCTCTGTAATTTTTGATAACTTTCCTTGCTGTCAGCGATACCTCCTAGTCTTGTATCATCCGCAAACTTACTAATCATGCGTTGTACATTCACATCCAGATCATTTGTGTCAGTAACAAAGGTCCCTACCCTGACCCCAGTGGCACATTGCTCATCACAGGCCTCCAATCCACGAAACAACCTTCAACCTTCAACCATCACCCTCTGCTTCCGACCATTGAGCCAATTTTGTATCCAATTAGCGAGCTTTCCCTGGATCCCATGCGACCTAACCTTCTTGACTAGCCTGCCATGTACGACCTTGTCAAAGGCCTTACGAGAATCCATATCGACAGCATCCACTGCCCTACCTCATTTATCCTCTTGGTTACCTCTTTGAAAAACTCTGAGAGATTTGTCAGACGTGACTTCCCATGCGCAATTCCATACTGACTGTCCCTAATCTGATCTTGACTATCCAAATGTAGGTTGATCGTGTCCCTCAGTATCCTGTCCAATAACTTGCCTACCACTGATATCAGGTTCACTGGCCTGTAGTTTCCTGGCTTGTCTTTGCTACCTCTTTTAAACAATGGAACAACATTGCCCTCCTCCAATCTTACTGAACTTCACCAATGGCTGAAAATGAAGCAAAAATCTCTCGGACCCCCTGCAATTTCCTCCCCAGCCTCCCACAATGTCCGAGGATTGACTTGATCGGGCCCCGGGTATTTATACACCTTAAAGCGCCATAAGGCCGAAACACCAACTCTCTGGTAATATGTACGCATTCCAAAACATTCCCATATTTCCCTTAATTCCTTAGCAGCCACGATTCTCTCCTCGTAATGACTGAGGGGAAATATTCATAAAATCTCCCCCATCACCTGTGGCTCTACAGGATATCCATCTTAATATTTTTGAAGATGTCCATGTGAACTGCTTTCAAAAAACAGTATTTCTTTCCCTGAGTTTTCTAGCCTCCCCTTTTCTTTTCTCCACAATAAAAACTGATGCGAAATATTCCTTCAATATCTTTCTCATCTCCTGACATTCAACACAAAGGTAACCTCTTTGATCTTTACGGGGCCCTGCTCACTCTCTAGTTGCTCTCTTGCTCTTCGTGCACTTGTAGAATCTCTTTGAAACGGATAGAATTATTGTCTATTATCTTGTTCCGTACTGTCACTTCTGCCCTATTACCCAAGAGAAGCTCAAGGTTTTTTTTTTTCTCTTTCTTTAGTAGGAGCATTGACTTGTAGATCATGAAAATGTTCTTGAACACACTTAACATTATCATTCACCATCCAAACCTTCAACACTATGGCAGTCCCAGTCAATGTTTGGAAAATTAAAATCACCAACTATTACAACCTTATTCTTCTTACATCTATCTGGGATCTCTCTACATATTTGTTCCTCATTTTCCCTCTGACTGTTGGGAGGCCTATTGTACTATCCCATCAGATGATCATTCCTTTCTTATTTCTGATTTCAACCCATATGTTTTCACTGGATGATTTTTCAGAAATATCTCTTCTAGCCTGAGCAATGAAGACAAGTGTACTAAATGTCTTCTGTCTACCACTCTGTCTACCTATGACGCAAACTTCAAAGAATGACGTACCTGAAACCCTAGGTCTCTGTTCTACAACACTACCCAGAGCCAGACCATTAATTGTATATTCCTGCCCCTGTGAAGTATTACATTTTGGTAAAACAAACATTTCTTCAAATAAAATTCAGTCTGCCATTCCTCAGCCCATTGACTCAATTGATCAAGATCTCTGTAATCCAGAAGCCAGTAGGCTGTATCCTTTAATATGACAGGAATTGAACATCAATGGAAGGATGTTCTGCTTCAATTGTACAGCGAACAACAAAGACCAAATCTCGAATACCACAAGCAGGTTTTGGTCTTCCGTACAATTATTCGGAGTTTCAGAGAAAGTTCACGAGATTGAAATCTGGAATAAGTGGGTTGTCTAAGGAGGATAGGTTGGGCAAGCAAAAAGAAAAGAATGAGGCTATAACTGCTGATTAAAACAGGAAAGTCAAATGATGTGAGCCAGGATACAGGGTGTGGTGAGGTAGAATCTGTATAGGTTGAGCTTAGAAACACCAACAGACAGAATATGATATTAGTGTTGTTTATAGACCCCAAATTGCAGTAATATTGGGGAAGGCAGTAGAATGGGATTTACAAGGAAGAAAGTTATGGGTGACTTCAACCTACATATAAAATGAGCAAATCATATCAGTAGCAATATAGTAGAGGAGGAATGCTTAGCGTTCATATGGTACAATTTTGTGAATCAATACATTGAAGCAGCAGATTCGTATTGGGTAACGAGAAAAGAATAATTGTCAATCAAGTTGAGCATGGGGCCTTAAGGAAGAGTGACCATAATCGGATCAGATTCTTCACTAAGATGGAGAGTGATTATTGTTGTTTCTGAGACTAGGGTCCTGTAATTAATGGAAAGAAGATATAATGGTATGAGGCGTGAGCTAGTTGTGATAAATTGTGTATCCACTTTTAAATAGATGATGGGAGATGGTTAATGGCAAACATTGTAAGAGGGCTTGGACAAGATATGAAAATTATTCATCTCAATCTCTGGCATAAGAACAAATGGGAAACATGGTCAAACCATAGCAGAGAAAGGGAAATGAACAGCTATTAAATTTAAGGAAACAGCATACAAATTAGGCAAATAAAACAACAGACCTAAAGGTTGGGAACAGTTAAGATTTCAGCAAAGGGATTTAATAACAGGAGAAAATAAAATGAGTACGGTTGCAGGGACCATTCAAACCAATAGCACTTTTTTTTTTTTTATTCATTCACAGGATATGGGCATTGCTGGCTCGGCCAGAATTTATTGCCCAGAGGGCTGTCCAGAGTCAACTGCATTGCTGTGGGACTGGAGTAACGTATAGGCCAGACCAGGTAAGAATGACAATATCTTTCTCTGAAAGATATTAATGAGCCAGATAGGTTTTTCCTGGCGGTCAACAACTGTTTCCTGATCATCATTCAACTCGTAATTCAAGATTGATAGTAAAAGCTTAGTCAAGAAGAAAATAGGGTCTCCTCACAATCTGAAACAGGTAAATTATAATAGGACACAGTGATAGTAGGCCAATAAAATGTGTCTCAGGTTTGCAAAAAGGATAACACAAATAATGTCCCAAAATTAAGGGGATCACAGGGTCTTAATGGGAATGTGGAATTGAAAGAAATTAGTTTTAGTAGGAAAATGATATTGGGAAATCCAATGGGATTACAGGCAGATAAACCCCCAGAGACAGAACCTTCATCTCTGAGCAGCTGAGGAAGTGGCCTGAGAAATAGCAGATGCGCTAGTGGGTTATCCTCAAATTTTATAGACTCTCAGAATTCCTGTGAATTGGAGGGTAGCTAACGTAACTCCAGTATTCAAGAAGGGGAGTCAGAAAACAGGGAATGAAGGTGGGGAAAAATGTTAGGGTCCACTGTAAAAGATGGAATAACAGAGTACTTGGAAGATAATGACAAGGTCAGACAGTCAGCAGAGCCGTTTTCTGTGCCGTAGATCTCTGAGACTCTGTTGGGTATGAATTCTCTCCAAGCTACTAACCATTCATTGGAACTATATTGCTATTCCTTCAGTGTTGCTGGGTCAAAATCCTGAAATCCCTTCCTAACAGCATTGTCGGTCCACCTACAGCTCATGGACTACAGTGGTTCACAAAGCAGATCACTACCACCTCCTCAGTGGCAACTAGGTTCAGCCAGCAATGCACACAGGAATTTAAAAAAAATTATCAAGGTAAAGTGGGAATGTGGAATTGAAACCTAAATAGATCTGCTTTGACCTTTTTGAGGCTCGAGGGGCAGAATGGACTGCTGTGGTTCCTATTTCATATGTTCTCTTCTCCTTTCAAAATGCATCATCTCAGCAGGAATAGTGTCTTCCCTCGGATTTAGAAGGATGAAGATTGATTTGATTAAAATTTTCCAGATGTTAATTGAAGCTGGTCGGGGGAGGGTATAGAATGGAACTAATTCACTGGGTGGGTGCAGTTGGAGCTCAAACACCCTCCTCGCCTCCAGTAATCAGACAAGTCTCGAGTTTCTTTGTTCTGTGTGCCCGCATATCCCCGGACATCTTTCATCATCTTAGTCATCAAGAATCTGTCTGCTGCTGCCTTAGAAAAATGTTTAAAGATTCTGCATTCACTGCCTTTTGCTGAAAGGAATTACAAAGATTCTCAACCCTCTGAGAGAAAGGAAATGTTCCTCACTATTTCAAATGGACACACCCCTTACCTTTAAACAATGACCCTCTGTTCTAGATTCTCTCAAAAGAGGGACCATATTTCAAACATCCACCTGGTCAGGTCCCCTCAGGATCTCTTATGTTTCAGTCGAGTCTCCTCTTTCTTTTCTAAATTCTAGCCTTTCCTCATAAGGCAATCCACTCATTCCATGTATTAGTCAATTAAATCTTCCCTGAAATGCTTCCAACATATGAACAACGTTCTATAAGTACAGTGACCAGAACTGAACCCAGTACTCCAGATGCAAGTCTCTCGAGTACAAAGGGGGACTGCATGTGTCTAAAGGTGGTCCATGAATTCCCACTTGCTTACAGTAATGCATTTTCAGAAGCTCATATCATTTATATTTATCTAATTGCAGACTGACAAAGGTTATGGTCAGTTTGTATTGTTACACAGACAGCATTGTTGTGGTATTACTCAAACCTCGCACTCTCTCCTGGCTGTGCACAAATAATGACTGGCTTTGTAGCCAGTTCCCACAGCCTGATTTTTGTCCTGTTTTTTTTCAACTTCTGTCCTTTCAAGGAGATTAATGATCCAGGTGG